TGCGCAGGCCCGTGACGCCGACGCCGCGCTTGGCGAAGCCCCGGGAGACCATGACCGAGGCCTCGAGCTCGTTGACGCCGTCGCGCGTGAAGACGGCGCCCCGGCCCGAGTTGAAGAGAGGGTCGTCCTCGAGCCGAACTAGGGCGAAGGTGGCGATCTCGAGCGCGGTCGGGTAGTCGTACTCACCATCGTGACCTTGCCCTGAACCTGGCAATTTGGCCTTCCTCTTCTTGGGGGTGCGCATGTATGCGTCTGTGGCTGTCACCTGTTGTAAATTGTTAGTCATTAAGATGAGTGAGAGATTCGCAACTTTATGAATGCAGAGTTTTTGTTTTGTTTCTACTAGTAGTGTGTGTACGTACAATACTCAGAAGACTGTCCCGGTACTTCTGGTAATAGTCCTCGCTCATCGCCTGCGGCTTGATGTTGCCCGCGCCGCCGTGGATTATGATACGAGCGCGGAGCTTCAAGGACGCCGGTGGTGAAGGCATTTTTTGCAGATGTGCGGTTATATGTAAGTATATATATACCAGTGTTATCCTGTTATTAATCGAAACGAAGAGCTACTCATATCAAGGAGAAAAGCGAAATGGTTTACAGTAAAAGTTTTTCGAAGTTGGATTAAAGAGAGGCTGGTCTAATTGTCTGAAGTCCCAAATTCGGGAGTTGATAACCGTGGCTTACCTAACCCGGTGAGATCCGATTCTCGGGGAAAGAAGATAAGAAATCGAAAACCCCTGTCGCATGTTTTGTTGCCCTGGCCCAGCGTCCGGGGCGGGTGTAACTTTGGGAAATCGTCTTGGAGATCAGGGTTTATTTACTCTAACCTTTACTGGTAACTTATACTTTGACCAAGATTGATAAGGCAGAAGAACTGCATTCATTTATTCCAACCTGCGTGTCGCTCTGTGGTGACTTGAGGCTCAGTAAACCTCTCCAATTCCTTAACCTGACGCAAGGATTCAGAGGCCAGAGCTTTGCCACACACGCAATATGTACACAATGTAGGTTATGGCCCTCTCATGCGCAGTCCTGACGTCCTCACGAGTCCCAACCCTACCGCACGCTTTCTTCACGCACAGATCCGATTACAACTTTTGTCGGCATTTCCTCACTTTTGTAGTACAACACCACCCGGTTTCCTCTCATGGTCCCGTAACCTAAGAATGGTGGAAATTCTCCATATGTGCCCCTATCGTACGTTCTTGCTAAGTTGCCCGCTCCGGCTCTTGCTAGGTTAACATCAACAAGGTTAACTACTTGGTAGGCAGCAGTTGCTAATTATTTCAGGATTCCTTGAAAACTTCGTACCTGCCTGCATATATCTCACATCTGCCTGCGTATATCTCACACCTCCCTGCGTATACCTCACACCTGCCTGAGTATACCGCACACCTGCCTGCGTATACCTCGCACCTGCCTGCGTATACCTCGCACCTACCAGTGTATCCTTCGTTCCTACCTGTGTTCAACCTCATCACGCCCTCCCAGAAATCTATTTATTCGACAGGCCAAAGTGATTTCTTTTTTGCCCTTTCGTTTCTTTTCACACACATCGCCCTCTCTGTTAGACTTTATCTGAGTTGCATCTTATCTTTCCTTTCACAAATGTCGACAAAACGATCAAGAGACAATGCCCCCAAAGCTCACCCGTCAGAGCGAAAAGCAGGGTAGGCAAAAACCCAGCAGTGATCACAACGACGCTTGTCCCAGTTCTTCGGCAAGCAGTAGCCGCCCCTTTGCAAGGGAGACGTGGAGAGATATACCGAGAGTTGCTTCAAGAAGCTGAAGGTATAAAAGCCCAAAACTTTACAAAGACAGGCGAGGCTTGGGCACGACTAAGTCTAGCTGCCACCATTAGTCTGTTGCCGGTAATAGACGAGGACGAATTGCAGAGGTATGGCTTCGAAGATGGATTTACAGCCAACCTGATCATGAAGGGATGGGCGCTTGAAATCCTGCAAATATGTATGTGTATTAGCTGCGTGATACATGCCGTGCCTATCTTACTGACAAATAGAAGGGACAACGCCTGGCAAGGGACAGAAAGCAGTACCTCGACACAACAGTCACCAGAAATTCCCAGGAGACCATAGTAAGTTTCTTCCACTGGGACTGATCTATCCACAATAATACTAAATCTTTGTGTATAGCGAGGATGATACAACGGTCGGTGCATCATCAACTGCTGTAAGGGAGGAGCCCAAGGCGGCTGTCTATCTGTGAGTCCGTGTCTAGTCTGCCTCCTGTTCGCCGCTAATTCGAGCAGCTCGACTTGACCGACGAGCAGTTTGACCTATACCAGAAGTTCTTTGCTGCGCGGATAGCTGCTCGTCTCGATCGTAGCAACAACAACAAGCTGAAGGCATTTTATGCTACCGGAAGTATGTATCCGCACCCGTACCTAACACGCCTCAAATTCGAGCTGACCTCGTATAGCTGCGTTTCGCGACGCGATCGGGGAAGTTAAAAATCTAGAACGAAAGCGTGACTGATTCGAGGTGACTTCGACAGGGTTTTTTCCTGTAGCCTATTCAACATAGGCCGAAGTAGTTTCATAAGCATGGAAATAAAATATTCTGGGCAAAGCAGCCCTATATTTGCCGCGAATTCGAGGTTATGCGTTGGTGACATTATATAATCTATCAAGCACCCAATAGGGGATGCCTTATACAGATAGTAAATATAGGGTATAAGGCTCGGAAATGGCATTGGTTAAGAGAGTGTTATTCCTACGCAAACCGTTCCTATATCCTCTGTCTAATTCCTTCAATATGCCGACTGAATAACCATACGACAGACGGCACAGATTGACTGGTGGCGAGTAGCTGAGGTACCGGGTATCCTTCATTATACAGCTATAGCGCTGCCAAGAAACCAATGCCAATGCGTGAAGGTCGTCTTTGGCCGCGATGTAGTGTCCCCAAAGCCTACAAACTCAATCCTCAGGCAAATCAAACATCTCCCTCCATCTGCTTGAGCTATGCCTGGCTTTCTGGAAAAATACCTACCGAAAGGCCGGTTTGGATAAGGAATCTGCAAAGTCTAGCACCCGGCCAGAACCCGGCAGCCTAGCGTGTCTAGGTCATGAGAGGGCACGTCTGACTCTTCCTCGACGTCCATATTTGTCCCGGCTTCGGTATCAGCATCTGGATTCCGGCCAAAATTGTTCTAGATGTTACGTCTTTTTGAGCGGCCGAAGTTGCCCGGGACTTTGGGGCTGCGCGTTGAAAGCTCCCTGCCCATGTTATCCCTATTTAAAGTATTAGTCATTGCTCGGACTCCGTGGAAAGATGGAAATATATACGGACAGGGTTGATTGTGTTACTTGTAGCGCTACCGCCCTATACTCACTGGGAACCGCGACGGTTTCCTTGCACCGGACCCGGCATAATAAGGTTCTCTGAGTCGTCATCTTCGAGGGCGGGTTGCTTGTGCTTGCTGAAGACGGACTCCAAATGACGAGTTGGCCTGGTTGAACTCGCAGACGCGCAGGAGATGTAGGGTCTTGCACGTTCTGAGCGTATCTTGCGGCGCGATTGTTGGCGGAAGAGGTAAGAATACGCGGCGATGAGATACAAGGTCGAGAACTTGTTAGGGTCGCAGAGGCACCGGATGGGCACGACATTTTCGAAACCTGTCGCCTTCCACAAATTGCGAAAGTTCAGATCGGCCTCTGAAGAAGGCCACAACGCAGAAGAAGAATAGTGCTTGATCGAACAGTAAGACTCTATGTGTGGTGCCATATTCCCTCTGGCGTTTTTCAGAGGACGTGTGAATAGAGTGAGGTTTAACGAAGACAAGATTTGTAGCCCCGTATGTCACCCCTCTAAGGAATGATGCGATTTTGTAGAAATTGAGCAAGTTGTTGACCAGATCAAGGATGTGTTTACGATGGGCTACTTCATCCAAAGGTCATCCGGCTGACAGGATCAGGATTGATAAAAGAAGTGCGATGAATAGTTGCTGGTTTGCAGTGAAACTGCTGGCTGATGGTGTTTTGGTGTCTTGGAGAGGTTGTGATCTCGCATCGCTAGCTACCAATCTGTGGCACAGCGATTGAGTACGGATAATGGAACAGAATGATGAATAGAAAGGGAGAAACTCCCAGGAAACAACAGTAGGATCTTATTGACCTCCTTATCTTCCACCACATGACAGGCGGCAGTGAACGCGAAGGCTGGAGTGTATCGAATAGTTGATGTCTCCTCTGTTGGTGTGTCTCTGGCTTGGTCTCGTACCATTTCAATGTCTCACCAGCTTGCCTCTCAGTTGGCTCCGAGGGAATGACGACTCCCAGTGCAGTGGATTTTCTCAGATTTAATCATGGCTTCGACTCACCGAGGACACCAGAAAAGAACAGTAGAGAACTGACGACAATCTTGTATGATCCCAAAAGTGTGCATTTCACTATGAAGTGGTAACTAGGTAGGCAAGTAATTTCTATCTCTCTAACTACATATACTCCCAAGGTTACCTCTTATGGGCGAAGTAGCAATATCATGGCATGACCAGGTCCCAGACACACCTGGTACGTAATGCATGCATCAGTATGATGCAGATGCTACAGAATAACTTCAATATCTTGGTTGCTACTGCAGGGCTCTACAAAGGGATCGGGGGAAGAACGCTTAATTATGTAGGTTATAAACACCTAGATATTGGAATCTAGAAGCCTTGTGGATCGGATAACCCTCACTGTAATATTGCGATAACAGTCCACTAAGTGGTCACTGTAAGTTATACCAAGCCACTGCAATGCTCTGTCCTGAACAAACTGTGGTGTGACTTTCTGGGAAGGCACGACAAGGCGTGACCAGATGCCGAATCCCGCTACTACCTACCTTGAAGCAGTTTCAATCGCGCTAAGATTGAGGTACGGCACTCCGTACTTTCCCTAATTAACAACGCTGGAAATACCCCAAAAGGCAGAAAAAAAGGGTACAGAAAAAGGAAAGAGAGAAAAAAAATCAGGCAGTGACATCCATAAACAACAAGGTTGGAACCCCCAGGAGTCGAACACCGGTTCTTCAGTTTAATCTCACTGACGCTCTACCGTTAAGCTAAAGTCCCTTGTCTTCTTTCTTCTGTTAGAACGAACATGTGAAAGAGACAATTATAAGATTGTTCAGGGTATGTAAGTTCATGCAAGCATGATGCCGGGTTGAAGCTTGAAGAAGATGTGTGTTTAGGTAAGAAAGGGGCTTGTCATTACCTAGTACAGTGCCGGTTTTGTTATCCCAGGCCCTCTAAGAAAAATACAAGATTAGTACCCTTGAGGATTGTGTACACAGGTGCGAGGAATGGGCCTGAAATTTGGAAAGATCCCACAGCAAAGTGACAGTGATAGTTTGTTGTAAGAGGATTTCAGAATTAGGGACGCCTGTAAATATGACAAGCCTGTGAGCAAGACCAGCCTCCGAGTGTTCTCAATATATGTTTTACCCCTTTCTCCTACGTTGTTGGCCGTATTAAGAGAGTTTTTTCTGTTAGAAAAGCATAAGTATCCTTGGAGTGATTGGCAAGAGTTACGAGGTTCTCAAATTAAATAGCTTTTCATTTCATTTTCTTAATTGCCGAAACCATGTACAGTCATGCTCCATAAACGGAGCACGTCGACTACCTAAGCCAGAAGTATAGCCTGATAAATCGCATCACTCTCACGGGAAGTTGGTCTGTTAAATGCATCAGATTGTACAGAGCAGTTTAGACTGCGCCCCACTAACTCGCCGAGCTTGCGCCCTCCCAAGAGATAACGGGTTGGTCTACGAGGCGAACTTGATAGACATCAGCTCCTAGAAACACGCGCGGACCTCCGGCAAGGGTTTGACGCGGGCGACGACATGGGCGCCTAATTGGGGCAGGGCGTCGGTGGTGCGCAGCACGCCAAGGGCCGGAGAGAAGGGGCTTGTGGGCCGTCACGGTCTGGCTTACCCAAAGGCCACGAATACCGAGGCGGACAACAAGACCGGGCTGAAAGTGGCTCAAGAATCAAGATGCGGGAAAACACAATTTGAGGAGATGATGGGGGTAACAAGCACTTTTTGGAGGCCACATTATATCGCTACCAGAAACTACTGTGTGTCACTTGTATTGCTCCTCCTTCTGTTGCTCCTTGCATTGAGATCATGCACCAACATGAACACCCAAGCCGCTTGCTAACTGCTTCTAGCTACCATTTCCAGCTATGCAGCCTACGGACCATCCTCTCCTTGGCGTTCTCGGCATTTATTTGCCGGAATTCTGTAACCTACACTCAGGTAAACGCGACAGATGGGTGAGAATAAAAGGTATGGTGACATTTACAGAGTGTTGCTTGCAGCTGGGACTTGCGCGCAGCGGCTCCTTCATCTCTAAATGGCCCTACTGATACCTTCCCAACGTCTACCAGCAGACGCCAGGGACTATAAGCCCAGCCTGCCAATGGCGGGAAGATCTACACCGCAGCCTGCAACTTTCCTATCATCAGGGGGTGAATAGATGACAAGTGTGGGGTGTTTTTCTATGCAGGTAAGAGCGACTGACTGCACGTGTTGCCATTGTTCTTCAAGATTGGTATTACGTCAACAGTCTTGAGAACTCTAGGCAGCAATTGCTCATCTGGTGAGATATTGCCTTCGATTTGCCTTACTGCTCACCATGCCTGCCCATGTGAAAGGTCTTCTGTCCACGTCACGGCAAGAGTTATCCCGCCTTCTCTACACATCGACGCGATGTTACTGATGTGAGCAGGCAGTTGCATATGTAGGAAGCGCATGCTTCTGTAACCAAGCAGGAACGATTGAGTTTGGTTTCAGAAGGTGCAAAAACAGTGCCACGGGCATACAGTTGTGGATTGCTTCACGTTGCCGTTTTAAAATCTTACCCCCCCTGTCTCTGCCCGCTTAAGGCTGACTGACCTTTGCTGTGATAGGGCGGACCAGACACGGGCCACCAAAGTAGTGTCGAACTTGGAGATTCGAAAATCCCACATTGCAAACGCATTAATTGGACGTTGTCACCCATCTGTCCAGTGACTTGAAGTTAGACTACAAGGGGTTCGTGTACTATCAATATCAGAGTTGGCCGAGTTATGGAGTGTATGTTAAGATGGGTGAGTCTAAAATTAGGATGGTTAGATCTCGATGCCCCTCATTGATCATGTTATTGGTGGAGGAGTTGGATAGAGTCAGGAACTTATAAAGTTTTACACAGTAACCTAACCTAACCCGTTTCGACCCCTGAGATGACACGACCCACGCACCCACGATCCTTCTTAGGGCTTAGGTAAACTTGAAAGGGACCCGCCACCCCTGGACCACCAATCACGATCAACACCCCCTTGATTAAGGTGCCCCAGTCAAGTGGAACGAGTTGGTGACTCTGCCCAAGCATATGCACCTAAAATAGCACTCTGATATCGCCCAGCACTCATTTGGGGGATCAGGGAGAGATGCAAGAGAGATGATGAGCTGCGGAGTATATATCTTGGCCCGCGGGCGCCATGTTCTACGATGGGGAGAGGGTGGAGAGCCTCATCATTTTCGTTCTTGATTTCCCCTTGCTTTGTTCCATAGTTTTCCCTTCTTTATCTTGGTGAGGAGGTCCATCAACACGTCGGGGATAAGAAGACGGCTGCTGTTCTTGGAAGAAAAGAGCAGGCTGAGATGGCACCGCCCACCCTTCAGTCCTCCACGACCGGAGTAAGCGCTGGGTCTGACCCGTCCCCCAGGGTAGACCCTGTAGATCAGAAGGAAATTGAAGCCATCTGGAAAGAGGTTTACGCCAAGGTCGTGGAGTTGGCGGGCGGAGATGCTAAGAAGATACGGCAGTCGTTAAGCATCGACGACGTTCTCGGCTACATCGACAAGGTGCAGAAGGCCGACAACCAGAAGTCGGAGGAGTATGGCACGTTCAAAAACATTGTTAGCAAGACCCTGCAGTGCATCAGCACCGTAGGTGGCATCGTGGCCGACGGCGCCTCGAATGTGAGTCATTCCATCGACTCGACAGACCTGAGTCCTCCACTGGTCATCGGCTGACACAACTCACACAGGTATTTGCCCCGGCCGGCATGTGCTACAATGCCTTGACGTTTGTCATACAAGCGTGGCAAGGTTACGAAGGGACCTTCGCCAACCTTGCCGAGCTTTTGGAGAAGTGTGTTGAGTTCTTGGAGAGACTTCAGTCCTATCAAGGGCGGATGGACTCCCGCTTGGCCCGCGTCGCATCGCAAAACCTCCGCCTCTTCATCGAGATTTGCGATCGCATCATCAAGCTGCGCAAGAAGCACACCCGGTTCCTGCGCTTCACCAAGCAGTTATTCCTGAACGATGATGGAGTCCAAGATCTGCTGAGCATGATGGACAAGCTTAACTCGAAAGAGGCTCTCCTAGTCAGTGCGCAGACCTACAGACTGGTCAGCGATAGTGCCGGGGACATCAAGGTGCTCCTCGAGACGCAGAAGGAGCAGCGGCGCGAGGACGATGCGAAGAAGTGGCGTCGTTCTCTGGCGAAGGCTCTCGGCTTCCCTGAAGGGACCCTTGACAGCGATAGGGAGCCTGTCCCTGTTTGGCAGAGAGCGTTCGAGACTCGCTTGAACCAGTTGGTGGAGGGAACTGGCACGTGGTGGAAAGAGGACGACTCCTTCCGCCACTGGGCGACGGCGAAATTTCCCGAAGAGTCGATCCTCGTCCTCAGCGGCGCGGCTGGTACCGGCAAAACGTCCATGATGGCCAATACTATCAAAGCCATAAGGCGTCTCGGGTGCGACGCACCTTCATCTCGCGTGGTAACAGCCTACAGCTTTGCCGAAGCAGACAAGCGGAAGGCCGACGACGACGATGAGAGCACCACTATCGAGCGCGTGACGAGGACGCTGCTTTGGCAACTGGCTACTTCATACGAAGCGATGACGAAGACAGTCGCTTCGGTAGTTGACCGGGTCGGCCATTTCGACGGAGCCCTGGACATGTGGGATCAGCTGTTCTTCCGTAACAAGGAGAGGCAGAATTCGAGCACCACCTTCTACATATTCATCGACAGCTTCGATCCCGAGCTTGTGCCATTGCTCCAGAGGTATTCAGGGCTGGATGACCGCGCAAAGGTACGGGTGTTCTTGACTGCCAGACCAGAGATGATCACCGGCTATCTCGGCCCAGTCGACGGGATTGCATACGCCGATGTGCCTATCGCGAGACGGAACAGCCAAGATGTTGAGAAATACATCATTTCGCAAATGGACTCGATGCCAATCTTGCGCGACACTACGAGACAGGGCATATCGGAGTGGAGAGAAGTGATCAAGAATGAGCTCCGGGACAAGTGCGCAGGCGACTACTTCAAGCTCAACACCAGTCTCTCTGCGCTTGCCAAGGTAGATCTCATCGAGGACGTTAGGGAGGTTCTGGAGGAGGCTGGAAGGCCCCGAACCGACCAGATCCGAGCCGAGATCCGCCGGCTCAACAACACCCGCACCCTGAAGGAGATCAACGAGATCAACGAGATCATCCTTTGGGTAGACTCTGGGAGATGGTTCTTCCCCCCCGAAGCAATGGACTCTATCTTGTCTGTCAAGCACAGAGCGTCCTCGGCGACCGACGAAACGGCATTCTTGCCGACCATCTCTCTACTGCCCCTTGCACAAAAGCTCAGAGAGAAATACACCCTATTCAGCATCACGGACTCGGGTGTGATCGATTGGCGCAATTCGGAAATCAAAGGCCATATCCCCACCAAGGGAGCTCAGCAGGATGACACCATCCGACTTGACGGATCTTCCCCGTCCCCGTCCCAGGTCATCCAGGAGTCCGAGATCAGCATCGTCCGGCATTTCCTCACCAATGTCTGCCCCCCAGATCTCTTCAGGCGCTTCGAGTTCGACGAGTTTTTCAACCAGAAGCTCGGAGCCGGGCTCAAAGAATACATCCACCTCGATCCCGACAACGCCGAGATCAGGATCGCCTATACTTGCTTGGTCATATTGACCGACGAAGATCTAAGGGAAAAGGAGAAGTTGCACCGATACGCCATTTACTGGCTCTTTGAGCACTTGGAAGCAGTCGACCTGTCTGTGGCCGACCGAGAACTGAAGG